TTCATCAGTCTACAGCACCTTATTCTCCATAGCAAAATGAAATTGCTGAAAGGAAGAATAGAATTCCATTTCCGTTGTAACCAAAAAAAAAGAAGAAAAGAAAGGAAGAATAGAACCCTTAAATTAATGATGAATGTCATGTTACTAAGTTCAGGCTTACAGCAAAACTTGTAGGGGGAAGTAATATTGTCTGCTAATTATGTTCTTAATAGAATACCCCACAAGAAAACTAACAGCACTTCTTATGAATTGTGGAAAGGTCAACCACCTTCATACAAATACATAAAAGTGTGGGAGTGTTTGGAAAAAGTTGAGATTCCTGTTCTTAAAAAGACTAAGATTAGACCAAAAACAGTAGATTGTGTGTTTATTGGTTATGCTTAGAATAGTAGTGCATATCGATTTCTGACTTATAAATCAGAAATACCTAATATAAATGTGAACACTATTATAGAGTCAAGGAATGTTGTGTTTTCTGAACATGTCTTTCCTTACAAGAAAGGACAAGAATTAAGTTCACAGAAAAGAACTTATGATTGTACACAAAGTCAAGAGACTAATGACAATCAAACACAAGAGACTAATAATGGTCTAGACCAACAGAATTTAACTGATGATGAACCAAGACGAAGTAAGAGAACGAGAATATCAAAATCCTTTGGTCTAGATTTTATGACATACTTGTTAGAAAATGAACCTCAAAGTTTTAAGGAAATAATGACAGGTCCTGAAGCACCTTTGTGGAAAGAGACTGTTAATAATGAAATTGAATCCATTATGCAAAATCATACTTGGGAATTGGTGGATCTTCCACCTGGTTCTAAACCACTTGGATATAAGTGAATATTCAAGAGAAAAATGAAAGCAGATGGTTCAATAGACAAGTATAAAGCACGACTTGTAGTAAAAGGTTACAGACAAAAGGAAAGTCTAGACTATTTTGATACATATTCTCCTGTGACAAGAATAACATCCATCCGCATGCTTATTGCCATAGCAGCGTTGTATAATTTAGAGATACATCAAATGGATGTTAAGACAGCTTTCTTAAACGGTGATCTAAATGAAGAGATCTATATGGAGCAACCTGAAGGGTTTGTAGTGCTGGGGCAAGAAAAGAAAGTTTGTCGGCTTGTGAAATCTCTTTATGGATTAAAACAAGCACCTAAGCAATGGCATGAAAAATTTGATCATGCAATGCTTACTAATGGGTTTAAGATAAACGAATGTGACAAGTGCGTCTATGTTAAAAATACTGACCAAGGATATGTCATAGTTCGTCTTTATGTGGATGAGATGCTTATCATTAGAAGTAGTCAAAACATGATCAAATTAACTAAACAAATGCTTAACAAAAGATTTGATATAAAAGATATGGGGGTCGCAAATGTTATATTAGGAATGAAAATTATTAAAACATCTAACGGATATGCATTATCTCAATCACATTATATTCAGAAAATTCTTGGTAAATTTATCAAGGATGATATGAATTTAGCTAGAACACCTGTAGACATTAGTCTTTATTTATCGAAAAATAAAAGTGATACGGTGTCTCAGTTAAAATACTCCCAAATCATTGGAAGCCTAATGTACCTAATGAATTGTACTCATCCTGACATAACTTATGCTGTCAGTAAATTGAGTAAGTACATTAGTAATCCCGGAAAAGACCATTAGAAAGCAATCATTCGAGTTCTTAGATATCTAAGATTTACCCGTGATCATGGTTTGAACTTTACTTGATATCCAGCAGTACTCGAAGGTTATTGTGATGCCAATTGGATATCAAACACTGAAGATTCGAAATCTACTAGTGGATATGTCTTTACTCTGGGAGGTGCTTCTGTTTCTTGGAAATCCATGAAACAAACATGCATTGCACGATCCACAATGGAATTCAAGTTCATTGCTTTAGACAAAGCAGGAGAAGAAGCAGAATGGCTTCGTCACTTCTTAGAAGACATTCCAATGTGGTCAAAACCTATGCCAACTATTTGTATTCATTGTGATAGTCAATCTGCAATAAGCGGGGCACAAAATCATATATATAATGGTAAGTCACGACATATTCGTCGTCGACATAATACCGTAAGGCAATTGCTCTCAAATGGAATAATCTCAATAGATTATATAAAATCTAAAGAGAATATTACGGATCTGTTAACAAAAGGTTTGACTAAAGAGCAAGTGTATAGTTCATCGAAGAGGATGGGATTAAAACCTACTGCATAAGAGTCATCATAATGGTAACCCTACTTATATGACTGGAGATCCCAAGAACTAAGTTCAAAGGGACAACTAAGTTATGTGTGGCTAGCCAGAAATCACCAAGGGATTAAAATTCCCTACCCATTCCTATGGTGAGAGTGATATCTACAACATGTGTTGTATGCAGGGGTCTAAGGATAAGCTTAGCTTTTAATGATTACTTATATCTTGATTTAGGCATAAAAATCAAGACGAGTATAAGGAGATACTCACAATAAGAATCACCCATATGAGTGTTGAACTGGGGTCGGTTCTATGAGAATGAAGAGGCTAAATTCTCTAGAAGTACTCATGAAAACCAGAAGCGTTCAAGGCCAAAATGAACACAACGGTGAGAACCACGATATGTTAGAAGATATTTTGTGTGAAATATATTGTCTTGGCTTACACAAACGGCTGAACAATTCAAGGCATCGCGTCCATTGGTTAGCTAGTAAGTTCGATAGGTTATCACTAGGGAAGGTTCAAGGCCGAAAGCTACCTATCCTGATGTAAGATATTTTTGAGTTATACTTTTTCGACAAATTCTACATTTTGTTGCATTTCTGGTGTCATCAAATTCCATTCATGTAGGGGATTATTAGAAATGGTTTGAAAAAAATCTGGAAAACTAAATTTTTTCCTAACTTTGGTCTATTATTTAGGTGGGACCCGTGCGCCAAAGTTGGCGGGTCTAAGTGGTAACGTGTTCTATGTTGCGTTATGATTCACGTGATATATTTGGTTACTCAAAACCATTATCGAGTGAATGGGAAATTAAAGCCCAAGTGTGCTCCATGGAAATAGAGTTTTGGTGAAAATTCCATAAGGTTTGTATAATGGCTTATCCCACATTGATTTGGTGGGAAGTTTTGAGTGGGTTTATAAGGCATGGGATTGGACCTTGGAGTAGGCCCCAAGGGGCACCCAAGTTTTGTAGAGAGGGAGGTTATGGGCAAAATGGGCTAGACCCATTGGACCCAAAAATCACCACACGCGTGCGCGCCGTCCGTTCGGGCGGGCGGGCAAGCTGGGCTGGGCCTAGGCTTGGGTACGGGTGTGTGGTGTGAGGTTGGGTTGGGCTTGTCCGACCCAATACTAATATTTTTGGGCCAAAAACATTTGAATTCAATTTTA